AAGAGAGATGGACAGAGAGAGAGAAGGAAGAAAGGAAGGAAGGAAGGAAGGAAGGAAGGAAGGAAGGAAGGAAGGAAGGAAGGAAGGAAGGAAGGAAGAAAGAAAGAAAGAAAAAGAAAGAAAGAAAGAAAGAAAAGAAAAGAAAGAAAGAAAAAGAAAGAAAGAAAGAAAGAAGAAAGAAAGAAAGAAAGAAAGAAAGAAAGAAAGAAAGAAAGAAAGAAAAGAAAGAAAGAATCAAATATGGAAGGATGAATAGGAGAAATGCAATGATAGAAGAAAAAGATGGGTAGATGGATAAAGGAAGGAAGGAAGGGAGCAAGAGTGTGAGGAAGGAAGGATGAAAAGAATGGAAAGGCAGGAGAAAGAAAGGGAGGAAGGATGGAGGATGGAAGAAAAGAAGGAAGGAAGAAAGGTAAGAAAGAGAAAGATGATAGAAAGGAAGGATAGGAGAAATGATGGAAGGAAGGAAGAAAAGGAAAGAAGGAAGGAAGGAAGGAAGGAAGGAAGGAAGGAAGGAAGGAAGGAAGGAAGGAAGGAAAGAGCATAGAAAAAAAAAACAAGGGAGAAAAGATGAAATGAAACATGCAACAAAGCAACAGAGATGCCAGTAATGGAAAGATGAAGCAATGGAGAGATGAAGGGTTGCAGGAAGGATCAAGGGGAAGAAAGAAAGAAAAGAAAGAAAGAGAAGAAAGAAAGAAAGAAAGAAAGAAAGAAAGAAAGAAAGAAAGAAAGAAAGAAAGAAAAAGAAAGAAAGAGAAAGAAAGAGAAAGAAAGAAAGAATCAAATATGGAAGGATGAATAGGAGAAATGCAATGATAGAAGAAAAGATGGGTGGATGGATGAAGGAAGGAAGGAAGGAAGGAAGGAAGGAAAGAAAGAAAGAAAAAAGAAAGAAAGAGCTAGTGAGCGAAGAAAGGGAGAGAGAGAAAAGTTAAGAAAAAGAGAGGGAGAGAAAGAGAAGGAGGGAGGCAAGATAATAGGAGAAATGTTAGAAGGGAGCAACAGTGTGAGGAAGGAAGGATGAAAAGAATGGAAAGGCAGGAGAAAGAAAGGGAGGAAGGATGGAGGATGGAAGAAAAGAAGGAAGGAAGAAAGGGAAGAAAGAGAAAGATGATAGAAAGGAAGAATAGGAGAAATGATGAAAGGAAAGAAGGAAGGAAGGAAGGAAGGAAGGAAGGAAGGAAGGAAGGAAGGAAAGGAAGGGGAAGAAGGGAAAGAAGGAAAGAGCATAGAAAAAACAAGGGAGAAAAGATGAAATGAAACATGCAACAAAGCAACAGAGATGCCAGTAATGGAAAGATGAAGTGATGGATAGATGAAAGGATGCAGGAAGGATCAAGGGGATGAAAGAAAGAAAGCACAGGAAGATAGAGGGATGAAAGATGGAAGAAAAATGAAAAGATAGCAGAAAGGATGGATGAATGGAAGAAAGAGAAGAAACGGTTACATAATAGGAAGGGATAGAAGTGCGAGAGTGCGAGGAAGGAAGGACGAAAAGAATGGGAAGACAGGAGAAAGAAAGAGAGGAAGGATGGAAGAAAAGAAAGAAGGAAAAAAGGGAGGGAAGAGAAAGACGATAGAAAAGGATAGAATAATAGGAGAAATGTAATGAAAGAAGAAAAGATGGACGGAAGAGAGAAAGGATGGAGCAATGAAAGGAAGAGTGGAGAGCGGAAGAATGGAAGGAAAATGTGAATCAGGAAAAAATAAGAAAGAAAGGGAAAAGAATGAATGAGAGAGAGAACAGATACTGTGTGTGAGAAGTGACCGACAAAGGTAAATTAGATCGAAGTCGACAAATAAGGTGGTCAATGAAGAAGGTAAAGACGGGAGAAAAAGAGGAGAGAGATAGATATAATGAGATATGACAGGGATGACAGGGAAGAGGATAGAATTATGGATGAAGGGAGATGTTAGAAAAGAATGAAGGGAATGAAGAGAGATGATAGCCATCAAGAGAAAGAGAAAAGAAAGGAAGAAAGAGAGGAGCATATGTTTGAGGAAGGAAGGATGAAAAGAATGTAACAAAAGAAGAACGAGTGAGGAAGGATGGATGGAAGAAAAGAAAAGAAGGAAGGATGAAAGGGAGGGCAGAGAATGATGGTAGAAAGAAAGGAAGGATAGAAGGATAGGAGATATCATGTAAGAAAAGGAAGGAAAGAGCATGGAAAGAACAAGGGAGGAAGGATGGAATGAAACAAGCAAGTAAGTAATATAGAAGGCAGTATTAAAGTAAGATGAAGAGAAAGAAAGAAAGAAAAAGAAAGAGAGAAAAGAAAAGAGAGAGAGAGAGAGGAGGAGGAAGGGGAGAAGGTATGGATGGGTGGATATATGGATAGAGGAAGGGAAGGAGGGCATGAGTGAAGGAGGAACAGACAGATGAATGAATGGATAAATAATAGATAGATAGATAGATAGATAGATAGATAGATAGATAGATAGATAGATACTAGATAGATATTTTCTGGCATTAGTGTGACGTCACTAGATCATGTGATATTGGTGTTCTTATTGCACATTGTACATCTATGAAGGTACTAGACATGTATTAAAAAAGTTAATAATAATGAATGGCAGCAATATCTGGTATATGAAAGAAGCAGTATTACTAGGGATCCCCATGGTTAGCAGACGCCTTGCTGCTACCCGCCCCCCCACCCCCCCACCCCCACCCCCCCAGGGCCTCCTCCGGTAATTCACATCCAGGGAGGATCTAGTCGTCTGATTTGTGGGAATTTAGGATAATTACAGCTTGGGATGCTGTTTTGGCTTCCTCTTGTTTATTACCATCCCAGCCCAAGCTGAAAACCTGCCTCCTGTATGTCACCTATAACAAAGCCTGGTCTGTATGAGGAGAGGGGGCACCACAGGCAGGGCCAGGACACCCTGACAGCTGCTGCCTACTTTGTTACCCAAATAGGGGGGTGGGGGGTGGTAAGAGATGGTCCCCCCAGATGGGGAACAAGGACCCACGCCAATATGTGTTATAATATTCAAATCCCAACTGAAGATTCAGACATAGCAGAAGACAAGGGATAATAGCTTCGAGGTGGGAAGGAGGGGGAGGGGCACGTGGTCTGCCTATCCACCAATCAGAGCCCTGGGAACACGACTCCCAAGTCTTGCAGGACAGTTCAGCCAGGTGCAGGCAGCAGCATCCAGCCAGGTTATCAATGCAAGGCTGATTTGCATAGACATATGTAACATCTGCTCTTGTTTTTAATATATTGGGGAGGGTGAAGCTTTCATATGTCATTTCAGATGTTTTATCTGCTCTTTTGGGACTGGGGGGGAGGGGAGGAGGGGGGTGGGTGATGGAGGGTTAAGGTGGGGTGGTTGGTGATGGATAATCCAACTCTACATCAATTTACATCGTAACCCAGAACTTCAGCCTTTATTTCATCTATTTTATTATGATGCAAACAATAGCATTGTATATGATTGCATTGGTGCCTGCTAAACCAGCCAATCAGAATGCAGGTCTTATTTCTTGATAATGCTTTAGCTTGGCTTGGGGTGGGGGGTGGGGGGGCACTGGAATTACCTATCCAGAAGGTAAATCTTATCAATCAGTTATTTTTTGTTAATTAGATTCTTTCTTTGCATTAAAAAATGATATTTAAACAGAACCCCCTAAACGTGTATATTTTATACAATATCAAGTAACAGGTGTCGTGTAGATCGTTTGGATTGTAACATTTTGAGGTTTTTTTTTTATTATTATTCCTGCACACAGAAAACTCACAACACAAAGGAATTAAAAATATCAATTAGAAATAGAAAGACAATCGATACATTTTCTGGTCCTTCAAAAGATATGGTCCATCGGTGCAAGAAAACTGGAATGTGTGACTTGCTATATAAACTCAGTAATGGATTACATATATCCTAAAAGTGTATGTATATAACAAAGTAACAAAACAACAACAGAAACACAACAAACAAAATTAAAGAATTAAAAATATAAATTAAAAAGATAAAGACAATATATATATATATATTTACACACATACATATAGTCTCTTCTAAAGATAAGGTCCATCAGTCCATGGAACTGTAAAACTGTAATGTGTGACTTATTAAATAAACTCAATATATAATAACTCAGTATATAAAAAAAATCAATATATAATAATATATATGTACTACAAAGTATCACTGCATAGGAAACTGATGCAAAGAGATACATTTTACAACTGTATGTATATATCAGAGCAACAAAACAACCAAAGCAAAACACACAAGAATTAAAAATATAAATTATAAATATAGAAGGCAATCAATATATTTTTTGGCTCTTCTAAAGATAAAGCTCATCAGTGCATGCAATAGTAAAACTGTAATGTGTATCACTGCATAGGAAACTGATACAAAGAGATACATTTTACAACTGAATGTATCTATCAGAGCAACAAAACAACCAAAGCAAAACACACAAGAATTAAAAATATAAATTATAAATATAGGAGGCAATCAATATATTTTTTGGCTCTCCTAAAGATAAAGCCCATCAGTGCAAGCAATTGTAAAACTGTAATGTGTATCACTGCATAGGAAACTGATACAAAGAGATACATTTTACAACTGTATATAACAAGAGTAACAAAACAACAAAAAACACAACCCACCATAGGATACAACCACAAACCACCTCACTAGTAACCATCACACAGTTTGCATTTGATTTGACGAAACTGATACAACTTGTGGATGGAAGGATCATTTGTATCTCTTTTTTATTTAATGTATTTCTTTTTATTTTATTTATTTATTTTTGCATACAAGTGGCAAAGTCAGTTACCTGTCTTGAACAGATGGCTGTAATAAATTCATATGGGAGGGGGGGGGTGTTCTCCCCAGAGGGGCCATTGTCAATCCTAAAATTGTTAGTAGTGGGCGGGGCCAGCTCAGAGGTGCTGCATAAATAGAAGCAGAGAAGCAGCAGCCCTCATACTACCTCGTCTCAGCACTGAGAGAGCATAGCCTGTCTCTGAGCCATGGCACCCAGCATGATCATCCCCGAATCTACTGCCCACAGCTACCAACCCAAGTCTGGCAAGAAAAGCAAAGAATCCAGCGAGCTGAGGAAGGTGAGTGCAATCAGCAGGCTGGACCATCTCACATATTTGATGATTTTGTTTTTTGAAGAGTCTATCCTGAGCCTTGCAGCATGATTGTAACCAAATATGACATTTTATTTCCAGACCCTCAAACCTCTGATGGAAAAGCGAAGGAGGGCTAGAATTAATGAAAGCCTCAACCAGCTGAAAACACTGATCCTGCCACTTATTGGAAAAGATGTAAGTGTTTTGTTTTATAAATATCATCTTCATAGTATTAGATACATGTAGTATACATGATTTTATTTTTATGTATGATGTTGCATAAAACAAAAAACAAAACAGAAAAAAACAACCCCCCCCCCAAAAAAAAACAATCAAAACCAAATATATACTTATACATCACAGTCTATTCAAATATTAATTTCATTATAAATGTCAATATTATATATTTTGCTAAGAAGGTATAAAGGAGTATTACATTCCGTAACTGCCTATAATATATATATATATATATATATATATAATATATATATATATATATAATGTTTATTATACTAGATACAATATGTGGTGTCCCTTGCGAGCAAAAAAAAAAAAAATTGTGCATGATATACAAAATTCATTTGAAGCCAGAAAACTTTAAATAACCAATTAAAACCGGACATTTGTTTTTTTATGGAGTGTCTATCATTTTGGCTAAAAAGGTTGTTTTTAAAAAATGTGTCTTATTACTAAATTTGTTTCTTAACCACAATCTTATTTTTTTTTTGTATTTACAGAATTCCAGATATTCCAAGCTAGAAAAAGCTGATATTTTGGAGATGACCGTTCGTTTCCTAAAGGACATCCCTCCAGTCCAAACACAAAGTAAGTGTTAACACATCAAGGCTTAATACTGGATAACAATAATAGTAATAGCAGTAATAATGATAACAATATTAGTTGTAAAAAGTATATAATAATAATAGTGGTAATAATTTGCATTCTTCAGACAAAATGGGTGCATGCCAATCCTTCCAAACCAAAATGTTTGTAGCATTTTGCTAGTAATTGCTCATGTAATTTGGACAGTAATTTGACCTGTGGGTTTATTGCTGATGTAGAACAATAAACCACTGCTTTATTGTATTTGGTGACCAAGCATCAAACCAGTACTTTATTACATATGGTGGACAAGCATTAATCCACTACCCTATTATATATGGTGGCCAAGCATCAGACCACTACCCTATTATATATGATGGCCAAGTGTCAAACCACTTCTCTATTATATATGGGGGCCAAGCATCAAACCACTACCTTATTATATATGCTGGCCAAGCATCAAAACCACTAACCTATTATATATGGTGGCCAAATGTCAAACCACTACCCTATTATATATGGTGCCCAAGCATCAGACCACTACCTTATTAGATATTGTGGCCAAGTAGAACACCACTACTTTATTATATATGGTGGCCAAGCATCAAACTGCTACCTTATTATACATGATGGCAAAGCATTAAACCACTATCTTATTATATATGGCGGCTAATAATCAAACCACTAGCTTATTATACATGGTTGCCAATAACCAAACCACTACCTTATTATATACAGTATGGTGGCCAATAATCAAACACTACCTTATTATATATGGTGGCCAATAATCAAACACTACCTTATTATATATGGTGGCCAATAATCAAATCACTACTTTATTATATATGGTGGCCAAGCATCAAACTGCTACCTTATTATATATAATGGCCAAGCATTATACCACCACCTTATTATAAATGGTGGCTAATAATCAAATCACTACCTTATTATATATGGTGGCCAATAATCAAATCACTACCTTATTATATATGGTGGCCAATAATCAAATCACTACCTTATTATATATGGTAGCCTATAACCAAACCACTACCTTATTATATATGGTAGCCTATAACCAAACCACTACCTTATTATATATGGTGGCCCATAATCAAATCACTACCTTATTATCTATGGTGGCCTATAACCAAACCACTACCTTATTATATATGGTGGCCCATAATCAAATCACTACCTTATTATCTATGGTGGCCAAGCATCAACCACTACCTTAATACATATGATGACCAAGCTTTGGGTTAGCTACTTTTCATCATATGGATGTATTAATAAGAGTACTGTGGGCTTTTAGTCTATGAGGGCAAATTATCCAAGCTGGTAGGGTGTTATGGCTGTAGTAAAAAAAGAGGAAACGGTAGAGCAGTTTGCAGACAGCTAAGCAGTGTTGTATGGTCAAGCTTTGGCTGTTGGCTCACATTATAACCATGTTTTTTTTCTGTTCAGACTCAGCAGAAAAATACAGAGAAGGGTACAGAGCTTGCCTAGACCGTCTTAGTGGCATCCTCTCCAAAACCAACGTCATTGCTGAAGAAACCAGCAACCTTCTCCTGGACCACCTGCAGAGAAGTCCCGAACTCTGCTGCCTGGACTGCACAAAGTCTCCCAACCCCAAGCAGAACAGTTCCAGAATCATCCTCCATCTCAGCCCCAGAAGATCAGACTTCTGCCCCTCCCCCAGCCAGCCTCCTGCACAAAGGCCTGCCCCCAGCCCACCGCAGCTTACTAGCACCATCTGGAGGCCGTGGTGAAAGAGAAAAACAGAGACTTAAAAAAACAAAACAAACACACCTACACAAAACAAAAGCTACATTGTAATTTATTGCACTGTTTTGTAAATAGTGTCACTAATACACATCCACTTGTTGCATGGAATTATCCTAGGCAATATACTGTGGACGATTTAGTCCTCATAGGGGGATTGAAAATAAGGGGGTACAATTTAGACCCTGGTAAACCCAAAGGGTTGTATAATTAGTATGCGATATGCATTGGATCATGCTTAACCAGTTGGCTCCAGAGAGGGGTCCTCAGCTTGAGGAAGAACAAAAGCCCCACTGGTAGCCAAAGGGTTAAAATGACAGGGCTACGTGCAACAAGCATTTCTATGTATGTTTTTAATGCACTTTTGTTACTTTTTTGTTACACAGATTATATTTTTTCTAAATAAATACAAAATGAACACATTCAACATTCTTTGTTTTTTTTTCCTTCATTCAGTCAAATGTACTATAAGTCACAGATATGACTGGGGTCCCTCCAAAATAGGTGTTCATTCAATTTTGTGGGTGTTATCCTTGAACAAAAATACAACATTATAACGTGTGTCTCCAAAACCAGTGCTGTCACTATAAAGAAAAGGGGGGGGGGGGGGTTTTACTAAAGACAAATAGACAAAGCACAGTACATCATGTAATAGAAAGCTTTGGCCCTATTTCTACAAAATAGTAACATGCAGGTTGGGGGGGGGGGTGGGTGTACTCTCAGCAGCAGCTTAAAGCCAGCAGGAGGGAAAAGAGAAGAAGCAGGCTTTCAGCTTCTGCAGAGAGAACCATACAGGGGATCAGTTCCAGTAATTACCCCCCCCCCCCACATGGAAGAAAAGTATAATTTAAAAATATTCTACCCAAATATATTGCCATATATTTCATTTTGCTACAATTTAGGCTACAATATAGTCTCCCCACATGGAAGAAAAATAGATTTGAAATATATTTTACAAATATTCTTCCCAAATATGTGAAATTCTACAATTTTGGCCATAGTCAATACATTTCAAAATATATTTCACTATATATATATATATATATATTGTATATAAAATATATATATATATTTTTTTTTTGCCAAAATAGTGAGTCTTCCTATATGGAAGCAACATATTTGAAATATATTTTACAAATATTCTTCCCAAATATATTGACATATATGTGAAATGCTACAATTTTGACCATATTCTATATATATATATATATATATATATATATATATATATATATATATATATATATATATATATATATTTTTATATATTTTATATATATATATATATATATATACACACATACTGAATGTTGAAATGGGTTTTTATTACAAAATATATATGACTTTTTAAAAAACAAATGCATTTCAAATATACTGCATGTCTTTAAAAATACAAATCTACATTTTTGGATTGCACTTACAAATATATGTAAAAATATATGTTAAAATTACTTTTAAATCTGAAGAATATATTTAAAAAATATATATTTTGAAAAAAAAGTTTTCATATATTTTTGTAATAAAGACACATTTCCACATGCAGTAAATACATATATATATATATTATTATTATTATTATTACATCGAGTTTATATAGCGCCAAAGGGTTTTGCTCAGCGCTGTACAATAGGGGGGACAATACATGGCACAGTACAACAAAAACAAAAACAAACAAAAACAAAATATATATATATTTATTGAAATATATTGAATATGGGCAAAATTGTAGAGGTCATCACAGAGGACAAGGGGGCGCTCTTTATGTCTGGAGGCAAAGAAATGTAATCTCCAAACACGGAAAGGTTTCTTCACAGTGAGAGCTGTGAGAATGTGGAATAGACTCCCTCAAGACTTGGTTGTGGCCAGCTCAGTGGATTGCTGTAGGAAAGTCCTGGATTCTTTCTTGGATACACAGAAATATATAACTGGATCAGGGGCGGACTGACAACTCATGGGGCCCCCGGGCAATAGGGGATCATGGGGCCCCTGTGTCCTTGCCCAAACTCAAAAAAGCCTATGAAAAAGGTACCAGGGGCCCCCTACTGACCCGGGCCTCAGGCAGTGCCTGAGTTTCCAAATGGTCAGTCCGCCCCTGAACTGGATATAACATTTATAGGGAAAGTTGATCCAGGGAATATCCGATTGCCTCTCGGGGGATCAGGAAGGAATTTTTTTCCCTGCAGGCGCCAACTGAATCATACTTTGCTGGGATTTTTGCCTTCCTCTGCATCAACTGTGGGTATAGGATTGTGTATGGAGGATTGTATATTTTTTTCCCCTTTTATTGGGTGAACTAGAAGAACTTTTGTCTTTTTCCAATCAGACTAATTATGTAACTATATAAGATCTCACCAATAAAGTCCCCAAGAAATAGAGGAAATGGTCAGCTCTTCAGCATCTACTGAAAACTGAAATATCAGTATGGGTTGGGCTGATCATTTTGCAATGTAATACAAAACTTACAGAATATGGGGAAATAGGGGTCTAGTCCTGCACCAAAAAAAAAAAAAAGTTTTTAATTGCTCTGATTTGATAACCATAGTAATTCATTTATAGGGAGTATCCCTTCAAATCAGAGATATAATGGGGTTAGACATAAAAATGGGATCACTTCATGATTTGCAGGTGTGAAAGTGACCACATGTTTGGTGGTAAAAGCGGAAGTGATGTAACATTCTTTTGCTTTCGCTATGTGATGAGACACCTAGCTAACAGGTGGGAAGCCTCACTTTCCTCATTCGCTACATGTGCTGCTAGCAATACAGAGTCATGTCAGAGCTTACTGAGCTTCAAAGAGGGCAAATTGCTGGTCAGGAAGGAATTTTATTTTTCAATTAAAGGAGTGATGCCAGCAGGGCCACCCACAGATCGAATTTCCGAGGGTTCGTAAGGGACGAGTCGGAATTCACTCAGCTTTTCGTTTGCTTCTCGTGGAAAGAAAGTGAAGCAAAAATAAATAAATAAATATTCTAGCAGGTCTCCTAACTACTCTCTAAAAAAAGACGATGTGTATTTATAAGTCGATACATTTCACTTATTTTCATCAATATTTATAATACACTCCCTCGGCCTCAGAGATTCTGCTCTCTCCTGGCTCTCATCCTACCTGTCACAGCGCTCTTTCAGCGTTACCTATAATGCTACCACCTCCCCCTCACTCCCCCTCTCTGTTGGGGTCCCTCAAGGCTCTGTCCTTGGGCCCCTTCTCTTCTCCATCTACACCTCCTCCCTTGGCCAACTCATACACTCTCACGGCTTCAACTACCACCTCTATGCCGACGACACACAAATCTATCTCTCAACCCCCCACCTCACCCCCTCGGTCTCCGCCCGAATCACACACCTACTGAGCGACATATCAGATTGGATGTCGCTCCACTTCCTTAAACTGAACCTCTCCAAAACCGAGTTTCTTGTCTTCCCCCCCAGCCCGGACACCACCCCCCATTGACTTCTCCATCACATCCAACAACGCCAATATCAAACCCGCCCCACAGGCCAGAGTACTTGGTGTCATTCTGGACTCCAACCTATCCTTCCAGCCCCAAGTCCAAAAATTTAACAAACTCGTGCCGCCTCCACCTCCGCAACATCGCCAAAATCCGCACGTTCCTAACCCCAGAAACCACTAAACAGCTCATCCACTCCCTCATCATATCACGACTCGATTACTGCAACTCCCTCCTCACTGGCCTGCCTCGCCGCTGGCTATCCCCGCTTCAGTCCATCCTGAATACGGCTGCCAGACTCATTCACCTTTCCAACCGCTCCGTCTCCGCCACCCCCCTCTGCCAATCCCTCCACTGGCCTCCACTCAGTGTCCTCCACCCCTCTCTGCCATACCCTCCACTGGCCTCCACTCAGTGTCCTCCACCCCCCTCTGCCAATCCCTCCACTGGCTTCCGATTGCGCAACGGATTAAATTCAAAATCCTAACACTGACGTACAAAGCTGTCCACCATACTGCCCCGAACTACATCACTGACCTAATATCCAAGTACCACCCAACACGCACACTCCGCTCCTCTCAAGACCTCCTTCTCTCTAGTTCCCTGGTCTCCTCCTCCCATGCCCGCCTCCAGGACTTCTCCAGGGTGTCACCCATCCTCTGGAACTCCCTGCCCCAACCCATCAGATTATCACCTACTCTCCTCTCCTTTAAGCGCACCCTGAAAACCCATCTCTTCAGGGAAGCCTACCCCACCCCCTGCTAACCTGCCGACCTCCTCCACTCTTCCTACCACTCCATCCCCCACAGCTATCTCCTCCTGTAACACCATCCCCTCCCTCCTAGATTGTAAGCTCCAAAGAGCAGGGCCCTCGATCCCCTCATGTTTTGCATTGTATTGGTATTGTTCTGTCACATGTTCTGTCCCCCTTTGTAATGTACAGCGCTGAGCGAACTATTGGCGCTTTATAAACACTGTATAATAATAATAATATGATCGTGTCATCTGCCAATCGGCTGAGGTCTATGGAGACAATGCCATATCCCATTACCATAATGACGGGTCTTATTACTCATACTAGAGCTGTGATCACATACATCTTAATTAGAGTCTTGCCCTCCTCTCCTCGCACACAATACCCTCACATCCATTTCATAGCTGTCAGCTATGCACTGTGAGACCCCCCCCCCCTAGATATAAAATACTACATGCCCTGTGGTATAGGTGGGGGTCATCAGGCCAGCAGATCAGTGTCACAGAATGGATTTATAGAGTTCGGAATTGAATGTTGTTTATTGATGTTAGTCCAGTACAGAAGCCTGTATTTACTAAGATTATAGGCTCGCTCATCGGACATCAATCTTCAACAAAACAGAAGGGAAACTATAAGGAGGCTAATGACACTAGAAAATGTTTGGCCAGCTTGGCTAGTTATGGTTGGATTAGGGACTGTTCATGTATGGAGGTACCCCCCTGACCCTAGCCGCCACTCCCCTGATCCAGGGAAATTTGGGGTTTCCTTCCTGGCCAATCAATTT